TGGGCTAAGCCACACCTCAGTGAACGTGGGGCGGGGCGATGGAGGGGGAGTGGGAGGGCTAAGCCACGCCTCTGTGAGCGTGGGGAGGGGCGATGGAAGTGTCTGGTGAGTGGGAGGAAAAGGACACCTCAGAGCTGGATGAGCTCAGGCCCCAGCTGGCTTCAGGTTGGGTGGTGAGCTACTGACACCTCCAGGAAAAGGGGAGCACTGAAGGTCCCCTTGTGGGTGAGGCCACAGCACTGGGGTTCTCATCAGCAGAGATCTCTCTGGTTGAAGCCACTTCCCCCAGAGCCCTCTGCCCTTCATGGTAGGCCCAGAGCCTCCAGCCCATGAGACTGGACCTGAAGGCAATGGGCCGGGGGCAGACCGCACCTGTACTTGGGGTGGGTGATGGCATAGATGATGGGGTTGTGGATGGCAGAGGCCTTGGCGATCACAGCAGGCACTGAATTCATGTAGGGTGTCAGGACGTGTGCATACCTGAGACAGAGAAGGTGTGGTTCCCCTCTGCTGGCTGGCCCTCCCCGGAGGCTCACAGCCTACCCACCCACCTCCCCAAGAACCTCTTCCCTCTGGGTCAGGTCAGGCCCTGCCTGGGGTAGGCAGGTGGTGGGGGGAGAGCGGGGATGGGGAGGAGTCGGGGGCGGCTGCGAGTGGGGATCTGGGGAAGAATGAGTGTCAGGCTGAGGGCATGGTTTGAAAAGTCCCATTGTAGCTTAGAATCTGTTCTGCTGCCAACAACCTAGGTAAGTCAACAGTCCCCTCCCTTTCCCTCTCCCCCCATTGACAATGCTCTTGAGGCTCTCTGCCCAGTTCCCCATACCCATTCCACCCTTCTGGCCCACCCACTCCCCTGGCTTTCTTAGAGTAATGTCCCAGGAGGGCCTGAGAGCAGATGGGCCAGTCCCGCACAGAGAGAAGGTGCTGCCTTCAAACTCTTCCCAAGGTTTAATAGCTCTCACTCTCTCTAAAGCTAGTCTGCAGTTCAGCCCGGGCCCCTGTTTCTGGATTTCTTCAAAATCTCCAGACTCTAGCCCCAAAAGATGGCTGGGAGCTCTTAGGGGCCCCTTCCTGGGGGTGAGCGTCACCTCTGGCCGTGTGTCCACAACTCAGGCCGAGAGAACAGACTCCCAGGTTGGCAGCACCTGACAGCTCTCCTGGGCCATAGGCTGAGTCTGAGTGTGGCCCAGAGGGTGGAGCATTGCCTGCCAGGCAGAGAATAAGGCTGCAAGGACCATTGGCCCTGGGCTTTGGCTCTGAAGGAAGAGGCCACGCCTAGGCTGCCTTGTGCTCCACTACTGCCCGGGCCTCTGCCCCATACCCACTGCTCACCCTGCGAAGGCCACCAGTACCACCGTCGAGTAGGGGGCCCAGGAGAGCACGAACAACGAGATGACCAACAGTGCGATCTTGGCCATCTTCCACTCGCTCTGCAGCCGCTGCCTCTGACGCGGGGAGTCTCTAGAACCCTCACAGGCCCCGAAAGTCTGGAGAGCCCTAGGATGAGGGTGAGCCGAGCCTGGGTCTGAGCCCACTTAGCCTGCAATGTGTTTCAGGGTCACGGCTACTGTTGGGATCCCTCTCTGGACCACCTAAGGCCACATTGCATCCCTCCACGTGCAGACAGCCTTGACTCCCAGAAGGTTCCCTGTGACATTGAGGCTAATGCTCCCAGGGGCGTCACTGTGGGGCTTCCTCTGACCCAAACATCTGCAGACCAAACTTAAAGCTCACCCCCACCCCAGAACCACATTTCCTTCCCTTCTTGCTGCTGGCACGGGAGTGGGAGGGCCCAGAGGCAGCCCTAGTGGAAGGGACACAGCATCCACCCTCCTGTCTAGCTCCCCTCCAGGCCTGGTTCTCACCGGCCTGTCTCCCGGATGGCTCTAAAGATGAAGATGTAGCAGTAGATGATGACGAGCAGGGGGAGGAAGAAGACGAAGCAGAAGAGGAGCATGGTGTAGGCTCGAACAGAGGGGGTGAAGCTCATGTAGTCCCAGGAGCACGAGGTCAAGAGTCCATCCGGCACATAGGCACCTGGGAGCCAAAGCAGGTGTTCAGGGGGGCAACCTTTGGGTCCTCAGCATTGGTTCCAGCCTGACACCCCCCCAGGAGTTTCGTGTGTATGGCTCCAGCTCCACCCCACCCCCACCCCCCAGTGAGGATGCCCGAAATGTCCTTGGGTAGGAGTGTGAGCTTGAGAAGCAGCTACCAAAGCCCACTCCTGCCTTGGCGTGGTCGTTTGGAGCAGAGAACTCACTGTGGCCCCATGGTCTTACTCCCCAGAGCTTCAGCCAGCTTCTGGATCCTTCCCCGGAGGGCGTGTGCCACGCTGCTAACCATCCGTCCTACCTGCTGACGTCTCACGAGCAATGTCCTGCCTAATCTGGCTCATGGAAAACCCTGCCCATGATCTTCCCCTCTGGTCCCAGCCCCTGTTTCTCTTCTCTGGCTGGGAGCCATGTCCCTCATTGTCCATCTGACTAGAGGCTCAGATTGTCCCTTTTGACCAGCTGTCCCAGCTGTCAGATGCGAGTCCACCTACGTGCCTCTTGAACTTGGCCCTCTCAGCTTAGCTACCCACCCTCCTCAGTTCCACCAGCCCACTTACTCCAGCCAAAGAAGGGTGGCAGACTCCAGGCCAGGGCATAGAGCCAAATGACCAGCAGGACAAGTGCCGCCCGCCTCTTCGACACCACGCCGATGGTGGCCAGCGGGCGCGTGATCACCAGGTAGCGGTCCAGAGCGATGGCTGTCAGGGTAATCATGGAGGTGATGCCGAAGAGTGCCCCACAGAAGGCATAGAATTCGCATCCTGTGGACACAGCACCCTGCCCTCAGTCCTCCGTAGCAAGGACAGGAAGTGCCTGGGGAAGGCGCATGCTCACCTTTTCTCCTGCCCTCTCAGAAAGCAGACCTGGACATTTGTCCCCCAGCAGTTAGCCGCCTCTGGCAGAAGCGGGCTGAGGTTTCCAGACTAGAACCTGAGTCTTCAGTGATTGGAAGCAGCTACCTACTCCCTGCCTAGGAAGTTCAAACCTCTGCCCCCCGCCCCCCAGCCCCTTCCCTCCATTGTGGTCATAGACCACATCCTCCCTCCAGCTAAAGGGAGCCCAGGTGCCTACCTGCCTCCCCAAAGAGCCACTGCTTGTAGAGGCTGCTGGTGAAGAAGACGGGGGCCTGGGTGAAGGACATGAGGAAGTCGCTGACTGCGAGGTTGATAATGAGCATGTTGGCCGGTGTCCGGAGGCTTCTGCTCCTGGGAACAGTCCGAGGGTGTTAGGAGGTACGTCTGCTAAAGGGCTTTCCTCAGGCCACAACCACAGATGTGCACACACGTCGGCACACCCACCATATACAAATGCATGTGCACCCGGCATATGCCTACACACTGCACATATGTATACACGCTTGTGTGTGCATTTGAAAGGCCCGTGCATGTATGCAGGCAAAGTTGCTAGGCTACAGACCCATCTGGCTGTCCAGCAAATACCAGCTGAGGGTCCTTTGAGCCCAGCTGTGCTGACTGAGGGATGAGAGACTCCAGGGCAGCAATCAGACCTTGTTTTCTGGAGACAGCCCCCTCAGAGTACCACAGGGGAGGACTGCTCCCCCCACAGCTGCTGTGAGCCCCACTCCCATGGAAGCTGGTTCTTGTGCTGTACCAATTTCCTCTGGTGTTCTCTGCACGATGCATCTTTACTCCTTGGATGAAACCCTTGGTCCCTCGAAGCCCTCTGGACAGAGGTCTCCCTGGGGGCTTCTCCATTAGATCCCTCCTGTTGTACACCCAGACCCTGCAGCTCTTGTGCTTCTAATACCTCCCTCCAGCTTGGGTACCACCCTCAGACCTCTTCCTCCCCAAGGGTCCAGCCTGGCCGGGGCACTCGCCCATTGCAGCTGCCCCTGCAGTGTGCACCCTCAAAGCGACCGAGGGAAGCGAACTGTGCTTGTGTCCACAGGTCATTTGCGCTGCCTGCCCTTTCCCCAACCTCACCTCCGGCTGTCATCCATCTCCATATCCCCCTGAGGCAGGTTCTGGTGGTCCCATTTTCCAGAGGGGACCACCGAGGCTCCGCTCACAATGCACTTCACTGCAGACGACTGAACGTAGTAAGTGGCACAGCCAGGCTTTCTCTGAGTCTCACTTGCAGGGGTAGGGGGTTTGGCAGGGGGTGGGGTGGAGTGGGGTGGGCGGGATTGCATGTCCGTGAATTTATCTGATCACCACACGAACTCCCTGACATAAGTCACAACTCCGTGTTGTGGTCAAGAAAAGGGAACCCGAGGAGGACAAAAAGATGACCCTCAATGACTTTGCTATGACCTGCCCATCTCAGTCTTCCAGGCTGTCGGGGGTGGAGGGGGCGTCCAGAGGAAAAGATTGGTCACCTAGAGGGCGGTTACTGAGGGCCTTGAGGACTTAGGGTCCTGGTGCCTGGGGCTACTCTTCAGCAGTAGGTGAGCGAGCGCTGGGTAGAACAGACTGAGACCTGGGTGCCTTGGATCTTTGGTTCAACGGCATGCACTCTTCAAGTTTGCTTTCCTGGTCTTGTGATGAAGACCCTGGCCTGAGGCCATTGCGGGCTTAGCCTCCTTTCTCTACCCAGCTTCAACAGTGCCCTGGCCAGAGTTGGCACCTAGGTCCCTCTCCTGCCCTGCTCCGTGCCCTGGCCCCCGCCCACCAGCCAGGTACCTGCAGAAAGTGTAGATGACCATTAGGTTGCCCAGCATCCCCGTGAGGCCCACCAGCAGGATCACCGTGCCCAGTGTGTAGTGGACGTGGTCCGGGACATCGACAATGGGGAAGGGGGCCGAGGCCGCAGTGGGAGCCCTGGCTGCCTGTGGAGAAGCAGAAACAAGAACATCACCTTACCCCTTCAAATCACTTGAGAACAAAGGAGGTGGGAGCTCAGCGTGGCAAAGCTGCTTGCTCACATAGCTAGCAAGTGGCCGCGCCAGCAGGGGAAGGCAGCGGTCAAGCCCAGGCGGTCATCCCCCAACACAGAGGCAGGCGTATAGGTTCTAAGAGTGGCCTGGCCCACTGGCTGAAGGCTAAAAGGACAGACAACTGTCTGCTATGGTGGCCCTGCTTTTTCTGGAAGCAAAGGCAGAGCTGATTTGGGGCTAGGTTCCCCCCTATCGTATAACTCCCGCCCCAGGTGCCCACAACAGCAGCCACCTTCGTCAGGTCTCCTGGGAACCTGGGTGGAAGATGGAGGTGGAGTCTGCTGCTCAATTTCAAAAGAGAAGCTGCATTATCTCTGCCTGGCAGTGTCTCTTTGATGCCTGGCATGAGAAAGAGGGAACAACTCCCCCTTCATACAGACAGTTTAGGCTTCTCAGGGTCATTTCAAGGAGACTATATGCCCTGTGAGGCCTGGGCAGAGGGATTGAAAGAGTTTCTACTTCCCTTCTTCCCCCCTTTGCACCCGAGGTCATCCAGTGGGAGCGAAGCATGTTGGGCTGAGGTTATGAGAATCTGTAAAGTGTCCGCAGGAAACTTTACAAAGCCGAAACAGGCATGCAGGGAAGAGCAAGCTGAAAGGTTGACTGTGCTGACTACACAATTTCTCCTCCCTCCTCCGAGCTCCTAATAAATGCCAGCATGGCCTCTGTGTCTAACCAGAGTAAATGTTTCTCTTGGTGTAGACAAGAACCTAATTCAGAGTTTCTTACTTCTTATGGAAAGAGAGGCCAGATCTGTCACGCCTGGCCCCGAAAGTTATCAGAGCCTTCCCATCCTGTCCAGGGCCTGGCATAGTGTCCCCGGAAGGGTGTTAGCTCCCAGGGTCTGACAGTCCTCACTAACTCCTTGACGGGGATAACAGGGCAGAAAGCACCCCAAGCCCCAGTCTCAGATGGCAACTCCGGAGGCTCAGGATATAGGAGACCCATTCTCTTTCAACCCCATTTCCCCATGAACATTTTGCAGCCTCCTCCTGGGTCACAAAGGACCTTTCTCTCTTGCTCCCTGCCCAGAAGGCTCCACGGGGCTTTCCACACCCCCTGCCCCACACTCTCCTTTACCTCATCCTTCAGGTAAGATGGCTCCCAGAGGCTCAATCCTGTGTCCAAGGTCCAACAGAAGATTTTCAGCCCGTCCCTCTCTCCCAAAGGCCCTGTTTGCTCCAGGAGCGAGTCAGCATGAAGGGGAGGAGGGGTCTTGGCAAACACGCCCCCCTCCCCCCCAGGCTTACCGTGGGGCTGCTGGGAGGAGGCGGTACGTCCAGGCTGGAGCCGCTGTTCCACCTGCTGGCTGAGGCTGCAGTAGCCACATGGCTCGGCTCCTGAGCTGGCCCTGACGGGACTCTTGACCCAGAAGGCAGGTTCATGCTGCCTCGAGGAGGCTCCTTCCTTGAGCTCCCAGACAAGCGGCAGGCCCAGAAAGCTCAGGACCACAGAGTGTTCAGCCTCCCAATTGTCCTTCCTTGTCAGCGTCCCCGCCCAGTACACCAGCCACCCTTGGGACTGATGCCTGGGCTTGGCGTCCAGTGAAGTGCAAAGGACTGAAAGTCCCAGCCGCGGGGTGGAGCCTTACCTTTTAGCAGCAGAGCCGGGGACGGCACATGCCCAGTTGCTTAGAGCCGGCGTCCCTGGTAGATGCCAGTTCCTGGGTGTCTGCAGATGAAGTTCTGAGGAAGTTAGGTGTGTGTGTGTGTGTGTGTGTGTGTGTGTGTGTGTGCAAGCATGAGGACATGTAGGTTCAAGGCTGGCTCGGGCCCGGGCCATTGGACAGAGGCTTTGTCCTCTCCTTCCAGCAAGCCCTTCTTCTTCCTGAAAGATGTGACGATTCACAGCCATAGGGCAGGGTGACACTGTCCTACAAGGCGACACTGTCCCTGTGTGTCCGAAGGTACTTGATGACCGCGAGATGAAGATTAACAAAGAAACCGCAGAAGTTGGGAGAGGCTAGAGAACTCACCGGCCTGTAGGCTTGGCCCGAGATGGTGGCCATCAGAGGGGACAGGGACCCCTTACTCTCTTCTAGAAGTGACGACTTCGAAGCTGGTGAGGGTGGGAGGGGTGTACAGCTGTTTCCAGGGCTCCTCTGGGGCTCCGGGAGGCTCCTGGGGGAGGGATCTGCTGCCTTCCAAGGATCTCCTTCCTGGGAGCTGTGCCCCCAGGTCAGAGAGGAAAGATCTGTAAGCCCCCTCCCCATTGTTACAGGCAGTGCTCTTGGGCCCAGAGGGAGAGCTGGCACTTCCCATCGCTCAACAGGTGCCCTCTGTGGTTGTTTGGTGCCATCAAGTTGATGTCCACGAGTCGTGACCCCAGGTACAACTGAAGGACACACTGCCCGCTCCGGCGCCAGCCTCACAATGGCCGTGCTTCAGCCCACTGTTGCGGCCACTGAGTTGGTCCATCTCCTTGAGGGTCTTCTTTGAAAGCTCATTTTATTGGGGGCTCATGCAGTTCTTATAAACAGCCTACACACCAGTTGTATCAGGCATACCTGTACCGATGTTGCCATCATCATTTTCTAAACATTTACTTTCTATTTGAGTCCTTGGGATCAGCTCCTCTTTTTCCCCTCCCTGCCCGAGGGTCTTTTTCTTGATCGCTGCCCCTCTCCTTTACCAAGCATGATGTCCCTTTCCAAGGCCTGGTCTTTCCTGATATCAAAAGTACGAGACGATGTCCCACCGTCCTTCAGTCTAAGAAGCACTCTGGCTCGACTTCTTCCAAGGTAGATTGCTCTTCTGATAGTCCCTGGGACCTTCCATCTCCTTCACCAGCGCCATATCTCAAATGAGTTCCTCCTTAGGTCTTTTCATTCCTGGTCCTGCGCTCTCAGCAGCTGCCCTCATAGGTCAGGTGACCAGACGTCC